CACCGCCTCGATGCAAGATACAGCCGAAGCACCACCTTTCGTCAGATACGGCCCTAACAAGAGGGAAGAGAATCCATACAGGAGATTACATGACAACTACACTTGAATTGTCTCCTACACACAGGGGACAACTATTTATAGCTTCTTACACAAAAGGAAGGGGAGTGGGAAGGTAAGAAGAATGCAAAAGATGGGTGTGGAAGATATGTGAATCAACCCTTGGATTGCAAGGATTAGCCATTCACTTCCTTCTCCTTCGCTTGGGATCGCGATCCCATTCCACCCCGCTGTTCAACGAAGCTTCGTGGGTCCTTTGTACAGTGGGATTAAAGCTCCCTGAAGCTTCGGGGCGAATTCAAAACCCGCGTCAGTCTTCTGAGGTTGGGGAAGCTTTGACCTTTTTTTTGAAGCTCTAGGTTCTTCAAAGTATAGTGTCGAAACGGTGACATTGAAAGTGGCTGAAATGTTATAGTCCCCAGAAAGATCGATCTCGTAAGCGTTCTCGTTCAGCTACTGAAGTACTCTAAAAGGTCCATCTACCCTTGGCGTAAGTTTCCTGAATGATCCTACAAAAAATCTTTCCTTTTTTAACCAAACCCATATGAGGTTTCCCTTTTGAAAAATTACTTTCTTCTTGGATTTATTTGTCTTTGTCTGACATTTAGCAATCTCTTTGCCAACTTCTTTATGGAACTTTTGAATCTTGTGAACTCGTTTTGTAGCATCTTTGTTGGTTTTAGAAGATGGTATGAGCGGCATTAATTCCAATGGCGTGAGCGGATTGTGTCTATAAACAATCTCGAAGGGAGTTAATATTTTGGTTGATGGATTGGTTATAGGTGAATTCAACTTGTGTTGGGATAAGATCTCACCGTCTTATGTTTTTCCCACGAAACTTCTCAAGAGATTGTCGGGCCTCTGATATACTACTTATGTTTGTCCTTCTACCTGGGGATGAGCTGCCGAGTTGAATTTGAGTTTGGTACCAAGCTTTCCCCACAATGTCCTTTAGAAGTGTTGATCGACAATGTGAGAGGTGTCTAGGGTCCATTGATAGGGTATAAAGTGGGTCACCTTGGAGAATCTGTGTACTACAACCATTACAGAGTCCTTGTTCCTTTGGATCCTTGGAAGTCCTAGCACGAAATCCATGTTGACGTCCACCCTCGGTGCCTCTAGTACTGGAAGTGTTTTGTATAATTCGGTGTTCTGAGCTGATGTCTTTGCCATATGACAAATCATGCATTGCTTAACATGTCATTCTATATCTCTTGTTAGTTTTGGCCAAAAAAATGCTCTCCTAACTATTTTATATAGATCCTTTATGACCTCGAAGCCCACAACTCTAGCCTGCATGGATGTAATCAATAAGTGTCGACGATTCTGTGCATCTGCTACGTGGTTTTGGTTTCCCGTCTTGTGTTTTAGCAAAAACTGAAATGATGCTTGAAATTTCACTCAGGTGGCATGTCGTCCCTTTAGTTTGTTCTAGCTATTGGGAATTTTAGGGCCTCATGTTCTGTGAATAGTGTAAAATCATTTGTCAATAGGTAATGATTAATGTTCCAGAGCTCGTAAGTTGGTGTAGAATTCTGTCTTAAGTATTTTTCCTCTTGGATTCGTGCAACTTCCCACTGAAATAAGCGATGGGGTATCTTTCTTGGCTTAGTACTGCTCTGATCCCTGTGCTGGAGGAATCACATTCTACCTCGAAAAGTTGGTTAAAGTCAGATAGTGCTAGCACGGGTGCCTGTTTCACTTTTGCTTTCTATATATCATAACTGTCAAAAGCAGCTATTGTCCAAGAAAACTCCTTCCCTTTTAGAAGTTCAATTTGGGAGGTGGTGACAGTGCTAAAGTTTTTTATGAATCTTCAATATAAGGATGCCAACCCCAAAAATTGCCCCAGCTCGGTGAATGATTGTGTTACGTCGCAGCTGATAATGGCCTCCATTTTTATGGGATCCATCTGACTGTCTGCACTAGACACAATGTAACCCAAAAAACATATCTCGGTGAATGATTGTGTTACGTCCCAGCTGATAATGGCCTCCATTTTTATGAGATCCATCTGATTGTCTGCACTAGACACAATGTAACCCAAAAAACATACCTGATTTGTCATGAATTGTCATTTCTTCGGATGAGCATATGGTTGCTCAGCTCGTAGTAACTCGAATATTGCCTTCAGGTGATACAAGTGATCCTCCTTTGATTGGTTGTACTAGAATATCTTCAAAGTAAACAACGACAAACTTTTCAATGTGAGGTTGAAATACTTAGTTCATTAATCTCTTGAAGATGTTAGGTTAGTTCGATAGACCGATAGGCATAACGATCCACTCATAAAGGTCATCCCCGTATCTTGAAGGTGGTCTTCCAGTCGTCTCCTGGCTTCATCGGTATCTGGTGATATTTGCTGTGTAAGTCGATCTTGGAGAAGATAGTGGCTTTATGTAGTTGGTCTAAGAGATCATCCAAGTGGGGTACGAGAAATCGGTACTTGATGGTAATCTTGTTGATGACTCGACTATCGATGCACATTCGCCGCGATCCATCCTTTTTGGGTATCATCAGGATCGGGACTGCACATGGGCTGGTGCTTTCTCTAACTAGTCCTCTTGCAATGAGATGCTGCACTTGTCGTTGTAATTCTTCATACTCCACTGGTCTTAATCTGTAGGATGGTTGGTTTGGTAATACGGATCCTGGTATAAGGTTGATGGTGTGTTGAATGTCTCTTAGTGGTGGTAATCTCTCTGATAAGTTGTCGATCATAACATCCTGAAAGTGTCTTATCAATGGTTGCATTAGTGCTTGCACCTCGCTTTCTTTCTCGTTTCCTTCTAGGAGGACTAATGCTAGTGTTATAAGGGATAGTGCTTGCACCTCGCTTTCTTCCTCGCTTCCTTCTAGGAGGACTAATGCTAGTGTTATAAGGGCATCTCTAACTTACAGCAGGAAAGTGGCATGAGGAACTAATGTTGCTTTTGTATCTCTCTCGCCTTTGCATTCTTAGTAGGTAGTAAAACTATTCGTTTCTCATCCTTCTTGAAAGAATAAGTGTTTTTGAACCCGTCCTGTTAAGTTTTTCAATCAAACTACTAAGGCCTACCTAACAGAATGTGGCTGACATCAATAGGAACTACGTCACACCATGCTTGTTCATGAGCTGGTGTCTAATGAAGAAGTTTGCTAGGCACTACTGATCCACCCATATCTCATTGTCATTCTTTAGCCAGGTAAGAGAACATGGCTGGGGTTGCTTCTGTGTGTCCAATCCTAACTTTTATACCATGAGCGTGGACACTACGTTCCGTAGCTCCCACTGTCGATGATTAGGCTGCAAACCTTCCCTTTGACGGTGCATTTGGTGCTAAAAATGTTTTGCCTTAGCCAAGATTGGTCCAGCTTGGGCTCGGACTGCAGTATTTGTCGAACAACTAGTTCTTCTCCTTCGTCTTCGCGAAGTTAAGGCTCTTTTTCTGGACTCCTCTTATTCCTCATCCACTTCCTCGACAACACCTTGATCTGTGAGTGTGACGACCTGGCTTGTTGGGCAATTGGAGGTTATGTGCCCGTAGTCGTGGCACCGGAAATATTTCCTGGCCAGCACTTTATTGGAGGAACTACCTTTCTCTAGCTTCTTCTCGCTCTGATCTGCCCTATCAATTCCTTGTTCAGTTACATTATTTCTTCCCGAGGAACCCTTGTCGGCTATAGAAGTTGTAGGTGACTGCTTGGCCGACGGTGGTGGTCTGAATGACATCTGTTGCTTGTTTTGCTTCTATTGTCTTTCCACCTTTAGCGCTAGTGTCTGGACATCCACCAACGTCCAATATTGTTGGAGTTGTATCATTTTGCTTATGACACGATTGTGTGCTCTTCTGACTCTGCCAGTTTGTGCTTTAGCTGTAGGTGGTCGAACTGTGCCATGAACTCCTCAACTGATAGATCTCTTTGCTGCTAGTTGTGGAGTTTTAGGAACATGTCCTGACGATATTGAGGTGGGAGGTATTTTTTCTGCATTGCCTTCTTCATTTTCTTCAACTTAGTTATCTTCTCACTTCTTTCTCTCCTATGCCTTTGTAGATTTTCTCACTATAAGGAAGCATTCTTTTTTAGTTTAATTGCAGCTAACTCGACTCACCTGTCCTCTGGTATGTCCTTATACTCGAAGATTTGTTCGATTGATTACATCCAGTCAATAAATTCATCGGGGTCCATGTCTCCCTCGAACTCTAGGAGGTTCATCTTGATGCCAAAGTCCCACTAACCTCCATAAGGGGCATCTTCTCTTGGAATCTTTTGATATTGGATATCAAAACGGCGTGGTCGATATTACTCGTCACTGTGACCTTCCCTGTGGAACGAATTCATCTCCTTGTCTTTATTTTCTCTTTCACTCTCTTGATAACAGTCAAAGGTAACCTCTTCTTGGTTTCCGTCATCCAGCTCTACTAGTCTCTATTGTAGACGATGAATTTTTCGTTGAATCTCTTCACGGGTCGAGTCCGGCGTACTTTGCGGTTGCATGGTTAGCGTTGAGAATCGACATGAAAAAATTTGGTGGAGGTGGCTTGGGTAGGGGCGGATGCTAGAAGATCCTAGGATGTGACTAGGGTTGGGCTAGCTCTGATACCAAATTATACCAGAACTAGTAAGAAGAACGGTGGAACAAAAACAAACTTTATTGATAAAAATAGGGTTACAACTGGACTCAAATAGAAATGAAGTACAATAATAGGTGAATCCCGGGTTTGGGATGTAGGAAGATGACAGAAGGCGATGATAGTGTCGGCGGGGTGGTAAGGCAAGATGGGAAAGGATTACAACTGGACTCAAACAGAAATGTAGTACAATAATAGGTGAATCCCGAGTTTGGGATGTAGGAAGATGACAGAAGGCGATGGTAGTGTCGGCGGGGTGGTAAGGCAAGATGGGAAAGGTCAGGTGGTTGTTTGGTAAGTTGTGATGATGTTTGGTTGGCTGTATGGTAGGTAGGACAACAAGGTTGTGAAGTAGGAGTGGCAGTAGAGTGGTGGAGGCATATGGGGGTGGAAGCAGCTAGGGGAGAGGTAGTAAAAGGGTTCGGTGAGAAGAAGCGAAGGAGATTGGAAGTTTACAACACCACCTCGGAGCATGATACAACAGAAGCACTTGTCGTCGGATACAATCCTAACAAGTGGGAAGAGACTCTACACAGTAGATTAGAAGACAACTACACTCGAATTGCCTCCTACTCACAAGGGACAACTATTTATAGCTCCTACTTCTACACAAAAGGAAGGGGAGTGAGAAGGTAAGAAGAATCCAAAAGAAAAACTCTTTCAGAAGAAGACAGGTGTGGAAGATACTCAAATCATCCTCTGGATCGCAAGGGTTCGCAATCCACTTCTTTCTCCTTCACACGGGATCACTATCCTGTTCTGCCCCGCTGTTCCGCTAAGCTTTGCGGGTCCTTTGTCCTGCGGTAATGAAGTGCCTTGAAGATTCAGGGCACATTTAGCGCCTGCGTCATTGGGTGGGAGCGGATGTTGGGAAATCCTAGGATGGACTAGGGTTAGGTTAGCTCTGATACCAAATGATATCGAAGTTATCCCAAAACCTGCTATGAAGAGCAGAATTTCATTATGTCAAATAGTGTTAGAATACAACAACACACAAACAAAGACCCCAACTACAGCGAGGAGAAGCAGTGGCGGCTGATATGAAAGGTATGGAATGGTTGTAGGTTGGTCAACAGCTAGACGTCGATGCTTGCGAAAATGTAACCAGCAGGTTAGTGGAGAGTAGGGAGGCAACAACAGGTGTGGAAAGGTTGGGAACTGCGGTAGAACTTTTGGAGAGGGGACTCGAGAGGCGGGCAGCAGGAGGTGGGGTGTCGGACAGATTGGACGGCAACGGGGAAGGGGTCGAAAGAGCCTGGACCATAGCAGGAGGTTGCAGGGGTGGCTAATGACAACAGGGAAGGTGCAAGGGTGGCTAATGGCAGCAGGACTGGTACAGGAATGGTTTGCGGCAACAGGAAGGGAAAGAAACAAGCAGAGATAATCACCATCTCAGATGAGTTACAGCTGGAGCATCTTCTCGCTGTTGGATACAACCCTCAAAAGGGAGAAACGCCAGAGGTAGATACCTGAAATCAAAGACAATCAAGAACTACCCTCTATGCAAGCAAATTAGTGCGCGCACGCACACACACAACTATATATATATATGTGTGTGTGTGTGTGTAGGAAAATTCGAAAGGAGGAGATCCTTTCCACCGCAGCTGCTCTATGAGTGAGCCCCGCGTCACCTACGTCCTAAAAGGATTCAACAATATTGTCTTCTTTTTACCTTGAATTTCTTTTTCAACAAACCAAACAGCCGACCCATTTCATTTTATTTTACTTAATATTCACTGCTTTTTTCTTGTTTTTAAAGCCTACCTTACCTTTTTTTGTGTTTAAGAAAGAAACATTGGCAAAGAGTGGAAATCAAGGGAAGTGAGAGGAGTGTAATGGACGGTTGTGACAAGTTTGTTGCAGAGGTGCTTTGAATTTTATTCCATAATGAGTATAAATCAGACATTCTGAAGGCCTTTTACTTATATATCATTTGATGGAGATGTACGGAAAACTTTTCCTACTCCTTCATGGAAGTCCCCCGAACCTCTTATGGAGAACATGCATGATCTGATCTCTATTTTGATTTATTCTCTTAAATCTGTGTGATTATGCTAATTATTAGTGCGTCTACTTTTATACTTAGGGATTGTTTGGTTGGCCATTAAAAGTGAGTATATTGTATTCTTTTACAGGAGTTTTGGAAATCCTGGTGTTTGGTTGGAAAAAAAAGAATATAAAATTACAATGTATTTGAAGTTTATTCAAGTCAATTTCAATATATTTGGAATTTGCTGGATTTGGATAAATTTTAAATACATCATTTTGTGTAAAGTGTTGCTTGTTTCCCCTTCTCACCGGTATGTATTGACGCTGCCAGCCACCACTGATCCCATGAAAACCGCCCTTCGCCCTTGGCTCTCCTGGTGGCTGTGGTTGCCTGCTTGCCTGCCATGTTGGTCTGTAATCGCTTCTGATGGACTTATTTTACATTGAATTTATTGTTCTTCAAATCAAAAAAAAAATAAAAAAAAAAAAGTGAATTCTTGCATTTATTTTACTTTGAACTAAACAAAAAAAAAATAAAAAAAAATAAGTGAATTCTTGCATTTATTTTACTTTGAACTAAACAACTACAAAGTATTCGAAATAAAAAACATTTTTACACCACATTCTTTTATCAGCAAGCCAAACAGCTTAATAGGTTAGTTGAAGGTGATACACTCAGATGTCATAGCTTTTGCTCATAGAGATGTGATACGTTGATATGTGAAAGTCAGCATGCGTTTTCATATGAATACATATCCTAATCACATTCATAACTTATATTTTCAAGATAAGGATTTGACTGAGCCCAATTTTTCAAAAAGATGAAGATGCGAAGCAAAACGTTTCAGCCCTTAAGCCTGATAAGATTAAAACTTTGAAGTGTATGGTTTATAATTTATGTATACTTATCCTATTGCTCAAATTCATGTCTCATTATTTCTAGGTTTATATTCCACTGAATCCAATGTTATATAAAGCAAAGATGTAACACATCACTCTTAACTCTTGAGCAAAGAATGTACGGGTATTAAGCTTGGATTGTAAAATCTAGTTTGTGCTCAAAATATTCCAAAGATTTAGGAATAATTTAACATTAAATGAATAAATTAGTTCGAAAATGTACTAGCTCTGACTTCTTTATCTATGCTGTAGCCCAAAGTTCCACTTTAAAATATGTAATTTCAACTTATGTATAAAACAGAGATTTAAATGAATTGAATTAACAAACTCATCAGAACAAATGTAAAGTTTCCGGATATATATGAACAATTAAAATTAATATCTAAAAAAAAATGCAAAACATTGTATCTTTATTCTAAGATAACTTAAGATTTACATTAAATTTTTTATAACAATTAGTGCATAAGTTACTTGAAAGTAGGTGTTGGTAATAAATTATTGAACTCTTTATTTTAAAAGCAGACATGTGCTTTGAAGAAATACATTTCAATGAGAAGCAAAATAACAAGATGAATATTTTGTCCGGCGATGATTGAAACATGCACACAACTTTTGTCTGTTTTGATGTATTCATTATATCTAGAGATGCCCCAAAATAAGCTTTTTGGTGCCCAAAGCCATGTGAGAAACTTGTGTGGAAGGTAAGTTTCAAAACATTAAGCTTAAACTAGTAACTTTCAACCATTTTGGGAGAGCTTAGCTTTGAAGAACTTCAAAGCGATTTAAAAAAAATAAAAATCGCATCTAAATCATATGGTAATGTTCTTACCGAAGCATTCATGTTTCTTAGCACCCATTTGGCTGCTTAAGTCTCAAATTACATTTTGCAAAATGATAAATTTTTTAAATGCTCTTTGAACGCCAGAAGTACTCTAAAAATCCTCTCAAATATAGTAATTCAACTAATAATCAATTATGACCTTAGGTGAATATTCGATATTTTATTATAGATAATCTATAGTTTATTTACGTTGGTAGGTTTATGCAAGCCCTCCTGGTTATCATGCTGAACAGTGGTAGTGGAGGGGCACAACCTGCAGTACCCACCGGGTTCTAAATTGCCTTTGTGGGAAATTGCCATTGCTCTGTGCCCAATCTGTGCTCTGCAAGCTGCATTTTTCACTCATGGCTCGTCAATACACCAATTTGGAGCTTTGGACATCTGGCTCATTTCCCTAATGTTTTCTTGGCAGCATTCAAAACGTGTAATCATGCTTGTTTTGGATTCACAAAGAAAAAAAGAGATTAAATTAATACTAGTAAGCATCGCCTCTCATGGAATAGCTTCTACATAGATGACTGTCAAGGGATGAGTGTAATAATGAATTTGCAGCTAATTTAGCTTTTTTTGTGAGTTATTTCAAAACTATTATTGATTAGTGAATCCAATTTGTACAAATACAATCTGAACTTTGTAGAAAGGCTTTGTTTGTTTGTATATTCCCTTTCATTGAGTCTTCTCTTTTTGCAGTGATGATGATGAGTTTTATGATCGCACAAAGAAGCCATCTGTTAAAAAGTCTGGTGAACAGCAGTCAGTTGAAACAGCTGATACTCTCCTCGACAAAATTGAAGTTATATCCAGTGAAATAGAAGAGAAGAGAAAGGTCCTTGCAGATGAGAAAGAGAAAATTGCCTCTAACAAGCAAGATGGCAACGGAAAGGATGACTTGGACGCATACATGATTGGTCTTTCTTCACAGTTAGGTAATAACGTGCATCTCTCTTGAATTCTCTTAAGCAATTGATACGGTTGAGGAATCCATAAGTTTCTTTTGAGCTGTTGATCACTTGACCAAAAAATATATGCTACAATTTTTTTCTAATTGGCTTGATCTGTCATCCCTAAAGAGCCTATGATCGCAGGCCGAGGCACACACACGCGCACACATCTAGTTGTGGCTTACACACACGCGCACACATCTAGCAAGAGGCCGAGGCATTTTCTTGATAGTTTAATATATTTTTGGAGAAATAAAAAAAAAGTAAATTATAAAAGAACAAATCAAAATAAAAAAATACTAGGGAAAATTTTTTTAAAAAAATCATAAAAATTTCAAGAAACATTTTTTACATTTGAGTATTCTTGTGCTATTCAATTTGTTCAACTATTAATTTTTCAGCCATAAAAAATTTCTTATATTTTTATTTATTTATTTATTTATTTTTAAAATGTCCTTGAAGCACTATAAAGTGCAATTGACATGACTTGTTTCCAGATGATTTTGAAGTGACAAAATGATAATCACAAATTTCTTTTTCTTGATCAAACCAATGTTTTCTATGGCAGACCAGGGATTGATAATTTAATGTAGGCGTCATCAAATTATTTTTTAGGCTTTTTATAACAAATATTCGGTAAAATAAGAAAACTTATCTAGTCACCTTATCTATAGAGCAATGTTATGAATCCCAACTTTAGGGCCTTCTTCAATTCTTTAGGTTGTAATCCCAAATCTCTTATGCAATAAATATCACACATTAATATTGGGATATTAAATTAAAATTCTACACATATGTTAATTATTCTCGGCTCAATCCTTTGCAAGTTAGCAATGAAAGTCTCCATGATCTTATCATGATCACCATCGTAGAAAATTAAACATGCAAATGAATCACCTCACCCATAGTCGGGCTGTAAGTCCCAACAATTGCGCTTTCCTCAAAATTTAAATTTGCAAGCTTCAATTGGAAGCTTAATTCTTTATGGTTTACAATGGTTGAAAGTTTCCTAGCATAAAAAGCTTAATGCATAAAAAAGAAGGGACTATTCTCATTGGCATATATTTGCAAACTAGAAATATGAATATCCTGTGTTGCAAAAGAAAATAATGTCCAGAGCATAGGAATGCTACACACATTTTGAGCATCTTTACCCATTTAGACAAGGTTACCTCCCGATAAAGCTTATAATCTCCACAATGAATCAAATGAATCTCGTCAAGCTTGTCCTAATGATGGGTTTAGTTATCAAATAATTATAATCTGAGTTTTTTTTTTATTGAATTTAGATTCCCAATCATAAAGATAAAATATTTCAAGGCTGATGTCTTTGGTTATCTAAACATTATGTTAGGAATGGTTTATTGTCATCAAGATTTCGATCATAATGACAAATTCAAGCAATTTTTCATATGATAGGCATGATTAATGTTAATCATAAGCACAAGGGATCCTTCTCATAAAATTCTCTTTTAAATCTTAAGAAATGTACATTTTTGGGCTCTTTTCAGGAAGATTGCATAAATTAATGTAAAATCATAATGGGAGAGAACTTTATCTCAATTTCACTCCTTATAAAATGAATTTAAAGCTAAATATTTGAAACAAAAAATTAAGCTATAATCTTCCACTTTGTGCTTAGAGCAGCCCCATTATCCTTGGCATCAATTTTTGAAGTCAAATTTATGTTTTCTTAAGATCACAAAAAACCCATGTATGGTAAGTGTATCCATATGGCGACACTCAAATCTTTTGCTAGTAAAGCCATGGCTGCCTCCTAGTTTGGTGATTAGCCTGATTGTGGCTTCATCATATTATATTATGGTTATGGACCAAACTAGGATGTTTGCTTGTGGCTAAATTTACAAGTTGTGAACTATAAGGCTCACTCAATAAGGTATAATGCGCTTACATAAAGTTGGCTTAACTTTTGTTTATTTGGCAAGCTTTCACCTTGTTCTCCGAAATATCCTTGAATGAGTGGTGGCTTCGGTCAGGTTGGGCCAACTAAATCCTTTGACTAATCAAATTAGGTTTGATGACAACACGGGATGATAAAATCATGGATTCTTGGTCTTCTTTGTTGTTACTCACTATTCATTTTGAGGTGGTAGTGGTATGTCCTTCTTTCTCTAATACAGATAGCTGATCTAAAGAAAAGCACCTTAGGACTTATTCTTAATTGATAGTTCTCTCTCGTAATTAGAAGGGATAATTAACATTGGATGGACACCTTGAACTAGATTATAAAATTTTCGAAAGGAGGTTTTTTTTGGGTCTTATCCTATGAAGCATGGACACAAACTCGAAGACACGGACACTACACGATACGGCGACACAACATAATTGAAAAAAACTATGGCACAACACGTTATGGACATGTTTTTATATTTAATAAATTATTAATATAAAATATATATTTTCTCATTATTCTGTAGTAAAAATATTACAAAAATTATGCAAGAATTAAATTTAACTTCATTTAATTTTTAAAATTAGTTATAATATGTTTCAAAAGAATTCATACAACTTATAGTCTAACTTATCTACTAAAACTTAAAAATCTTATGATTACAAAGAGGGAAAATGCTCGGATTCGACGAATATTGAACGCACCTTCGATGCTAGATTTTGATGAATGTTAGAGGGAGCTTTAACAAGATGATAGATGGGGCGGTTTCGACTATGAAGTATAATTAAGAATATACGTATATTTATAATTTTCTAATTCCGATGTCCCATTTTCTCGAAATCGTGTTAAGCTCACTTCTAATGCAGCGTTGAGATGTGTCCCGGACGTGTTCGGTCCTGAAAAAAATTCAGACATATTTTGTCGAAGAAGTGTCAGGACATATCAGACAAGTATCAGTGTTTGATACGTGTCTGACACGAGTATGATATTTTTAGAAGTGTCGGTGCTACATAGGTCTTATCTAAATATCTAGTCTATTTTATAAAGAATTGATCCAACATCACTCAAATATGAACTCAACATTTTCCAAACCGACAAATCTTTTCTTTGTGGATAATTCACTTCTCTGTCAGTACATAGTCCTTGAACTTTATTAACGTTTGATTAGTGTGCCTGCATTTAGCATGCATTTTCTGTGGGTGCTCTCTCCATGGGGTAGTTTTTGTTGAATTTTTCAAAGGAGAAGGTATTCTCGGATTTTAAATTTGATAGGTTTGTCAACATTATGGCATCAAGGTATATTCCTGGGAAACCTTTGTTTATTTATTTACTGTTATATTGTTCATCTTGTAACTAGATGTTTTTTTGCCAATGCTGTGATTCTTAGCTCTATTTTTTTGTCAGTCATATCTAATCTTCTTATGGTCACTGTTCATGAAACAGTAATTGATAGGACTTTACAAATGGAGAAGAACTTATCTGATTTACAAGCAGAGCTGAAAAGGATAAAATATTTATTAAAAATTGCTGACCCAAGTGGAGAAGCTACTCGAAAAAGAACGTCAAACTCTACAGAAACTCAAGCACCCAAGTCTTCTAAGTCTGTGCCCAGCATCTCAAGTCTTTGCCAGTCTAATGAACAGCCAAACACCATCTTAGAGACACTCAAATCAAGGCCATCTCTTCAGGAAACCCATAATTTGATTCCAGCTGAGAATACATCTGAAAAGGTTGACGATGATTGTGGAGATAATGAAGACAAAAAGACTGCTTACGCCATTGCCAAACCTCAGTGGCTTGGTGCCGCAAGAAAGATAGAATCAGAAGATAATCACAGTTCTCCAGCTAATTTGGATGTAGTTATTTCAGATGATTTTGTTGACTACAACGATAGGAAGAAATTTCTTGCTGCAGCTGGTAATGACGACAACTTAGAAACTGCAGGTTCTGGTCTCATCATAAGGAAGAGGAAATCTACAGAAAGAGCTGATCATAGTGCTGAAAAAGCTCTAAAAGTTGAAGCTCCACTGTCGCCTAAGGCTGAAACTCTTGCAGCCGATGCTATTGCCTTGCTTTTGAAGCATAAGCGAGGAATTCATGTAATTGACGAATTTACAGATGATGAGAAACAGAACGTACAAGTTGGAGGTCAATCTGGTAAAGAGCTTTCACATGTGAGTCGAATCCTTGGACCTGTAAGACCTGATTATTTAGATGGGAGTTCAGATTATGAGTCCTGGGTTCCACCTAAGGGTAACTATTTTAACCTTTTTTTTTTCTATCTTTCTGATCTTCCTAATGCTGTTTGTTTCATGTTTCAAATTCTAATGACACTAATTCAACAGGGCAAACTGGAGACGGACGAACTTCACTGAATGATCGTCTTGGCTACTAATTCACAGTCTTATTGTTAGCCCTTAGAGACAGCTGCTATTTGTTTGTAACTATTATAATTCTGAGGAAGTCTGTCATCTTGCTAATGGGCACTGCAGATCATTGAGTAGTTGCTGAACAATGAGATTATCTAGTAAGATTACTTGACACTGAGAGGACATCAATATTAAATATCTTACAAAGCGGCTCATCAAGCTGTACTGTAAATATGTTCCGCTGAGGTATTAAAAATGGCTGCTAATCCTTTTTTGCCCGTGATTTGAGATCATGTCCTTCATGTTTCCACACATTACGTCAAATTGTTTGTTGAATGATCATTTTCAGATGTTGTTGAACTTATTTATGCATTATGTGCACATAATAATGAGGAAAAATCAGTTTGATTTTCTTGGTTCATTTTCTTTAGATGTTGTCATATTTTGTTGATTTAACATAAAGAGTCAAAAAGCTTGTATTAATGTTTTACATGAACCAAATTGAGCCAAATACGAATATGTTCAAACTCATTCTTTTATTTATTTTTGTGATAATTACATACATAGCATTTGAAACATTTATTTTTACAACACTAGCACTCAGTTTATTTTTACAACTATTTAACTGATGCATTTATGTGTGCCCATTGGGAAATTGATAAAAATAAAAAAACGTGTGTTGGTTTTATCATGAATTTTGATAGTGGAGTAAGAACTTGAAAAATGGATGAAAGAGGGTGCTAATTTTGTAAATAGCAATATTTTCAGTGCTATGCATGTAATTGCCCCTTTATTTTTTAATAAAGTTCAATTTGAGTTTGAATTAATTGAATTTTATAATATTGTTCAGGTTTATTTATTTATGAGGGAGAAACCTCCATTAGACGCAATTATTAGATTTTTTAGGTTTGTATGTGTTGAGAGTAATGTGTAAAAAGGATTATTTATGGGTTTATTTGTAAAAAGTTGTAACCTATTTAAGTCCAGGTTATGAATGAAATAATTAGGTTTTGTGTGCAATTCTTTTCTATTTGGTATCAGAGCCGCCGCTCCACTCTGCGGCTCTCGCTCGAATCCGCTACGCGATCGACGACTCTAGCGGAGCCACCAACTCACCATTAGCCTCTTCGCTGGCGGCGAGTTTCTCTTCTTCTTCTGGCGTCCCCTCACACTCAATACCATCGCAGTCGCAGTCGTCCTCCACTAAATCGAGTGAGAAGACCATGAGCTATGTTGGGAGGCTTTGACGGGAATCGGGAATGCATCGACAGGAGTGCGACAAGACGAGGATGAGATCGTAGGAAGGCAAGGACGCGATCGATGACTGGAGCTAACTGGGAAGGCACCAAAAGATTGCGATATAGTCGCAATTCAAGCATAGTGATACGGTCGCGATTAAGCCTGGGATCACGAAGCAGCTGCGACAAGTAGGGATCACAAAGCAGCCAAGAAGAGCAAGGTTGAGATTGGTGTCCTGACAAAGCAATCACGGTTAGAACTAACTGAGTAGGCTTCAATTTCAAACAACGAGATAGGAGAGCAGTCCTGTCATCGCAACACAGGGAGGTAGGCCCGGTTCGGTCTTGCTTGGGGCTCGGAACGAATTTGATCCTCGTGATTGAAAATGTTAGGAGGTATGGGATTGGTACTTTTGAGGAAGATGGATCCCGAAGTTCTAAAGGTCTGGGTCGAGCTCATACAGGGAGCTAGCTTCTCGACTAGAGCCACTGCCTCTGCACATGTTCCGACGCAGGTGAAGCTTGATCGCCCTTCTGTGGATCTGAAGCTCTATGGACCGACCACCTATCTGAGTTGGTCGTGTCGGATCGTGGCTGCTCTGGTAAAGAAGAGACTTGAAGGTTACCTGACATGGGTTGAGCCAAAGAGTGACAATGCTCAGAGGGATGAGTGGAGGACTACACATCCCTTGCTTTACACTTGGTTGCTCAACTCGATGGTTCCTTTGATTGCTTCATTAGTGGATGGCATTCAAAAGGTGAGGATCATTTGGGAGAAGTTGAAGAAGAACTATACTAGAGCTGAGAACCACATGAGAGTGTTTCGGATTTAACGTGAGATAGAAGCTGTGGTTCAGGGTGATAGATTGATTCAGGATTACTCTATAGAATTAGAACAGTTGTGATAGGATCTTGATCACTTCCCACTTATGTCGAGCTGCGGCAATCTGAGGTACAAGAATGGAGAAATCCTTGCACGTTTAACATGAGATAGAAGCTGTGGTTCAGGGTGATAGATTGACTCAGGATTACTCTATAGAATTAGAACAGTTGTGACAGGATCTTGATCACTTCCCACTTATGTCGAGCTGCGGCAATCTGAGGTACAAGAATGGAGAAATCCTTGCACAGTTGAGGACTATACAGTTTCTGGCTCATCTAAACCAGACCTTTGATCAGAGCAGATCGTTTCTCCTAGCCCATGCGACTATTCACACACTAGACGAGGCCATTGTTGTGATAATATATGAGGAGAGTCACATGAAGCTACACTCTGACCGAGTGGTTTTTCTGGTGCACGATCAGTATTGACTGTTGCGAGCTAAGGTACTCTAGGTATCCTGGGGGAGACTTGCAAATGCTATAGTTGTAGTGAAGTTTGTCATCTGAGCAGGGCGTGTCTAAAGCTACATAAGGAGAGAGACAGGTGGACGTGGCTAAGATAGAGGTCATGGTCGTGGTCGTGACGGCTGGAAATGTGGAAGAGAGGCTACCGGGCAAATCTGATGATAGCAGAGGACAAGTGGGAGACATTTATGATCTTTACTAGTGAGGATCATGAGTGTATGGAGCTGTTGATGTGGAAGCAGAAAGCAACAGGAGATGGAGCTGAGGATGTTTCAAATCCATCGACATCAAGGGGTAATATTGCCACTTATGCTTACTTCAATAAAGGTACCGGTGGCACACTTGTTCTTACATTTTTTTTTTCACCACAAAATCATCAGAATGGATCATGTATTCTGGTGTTTCTTGTCACATGATGGGTATTGCCGGAGTGTTCTCTTCATATACTAATCTAGCAGTACCGGAGAGTATACAGACCGTTGATTGTACATCACAACATGTAGTTGGTAAGTGAAATATACTAATCATATGATATTGTCCAATGTTTTGCATGCTCATTTTCAATAAATCTCTTATTCATTAGTAACATTATTTTCCAGTTAAAATGTATTGTTTCTTTTGATATTCCTTAAGTGATCTTCCAAGAGAAAGGGACGAGCCAGCCACTTGGGACTAGAACGTGGGATAGAAGTCTTTGATACTTAAACCGATAAGAAATGGACTCAGCTCTGACACCCATGGTGGAAATTGTTGCAGTAGTAGAATATGGGAGGAAAGTCGAGGAAGTGTTATCGCTACATCACAGACGTATAGGACATTCTAGTCTTAGTTTACTAAGTCGGTTGTGTCCATCAATTTATGAAACGACAAATAAGGAGAAACTGGTGTGATGCTTATGAGTTTGGCCGATGATGTAAATGTACTACACTTCACACTTCAATAAAGGTATTACTCATCAATTATTTGTATATATATATATATATATACATATTGATGATTAGTATTTTTTAAAAAATTAATTAACTACAATGCTACAAAGTTTTATATTCAATTAAAAGTATTAATTAAGAAAATAGAATAAAAATTATTAAATTAGATTCAAATGTTGCTTTAATATAAACAATAATTTTTAAATCTTGCCCCAATCTTTAAAATCTTATGGCTACGTCATTAGGGTTGACAAAACGACTCTTTGTTCGTGAACAACTCATGTTCGGCTCCCTAAGCAAACGAGTTGAACATGAACACACTTTTTGATCTCGAAATATAAACAAGTCGAACATGAGCGAGCCTTGCCAAAATGACTCTTTGTTCGTGAACAATTCATGTTCAACTCACTAAGCAAATGAGTTGAATACGAATACATTTTTTAATCTGGAAATATAAACAAGCCGAACACGTGTTCGGCTCGTTTACACCCCTACATAGCACCCCACCACTTCCTTGTCGTCCCACTCCCCCAATCCTCAAACCGCCCACTAAATCCCTCCCAACCTGCCATATAGCCACCAGCCCTTCCCTTCCCCTTGCCATTTTGTCGACGCCCCCACTTCTCTCGGATCTTCACTTCTAGTCCTAGCCGGAGATTGGGGTTGATGTACTTTCTTTTCAGTTTGTCGTGGTTGTAACCCTAATTCAATTGCTTAATAAATCTTTTACTTCCAGTATCATTTATGGTGATTAGTGTTATCTTTGTTTTTTTTTT